AGAGACGTCAGACCAGGTGACACCAATTTTTCAGCTAAATTTAGCGAGGAAACTGAATTAGTGTATAGGTCACGTGATATAAATAGACGTCACGTCTCATAAACACCAAATAAGTTTTTCCGCTAAATTTAGTGGAATACAGACGGACGGACGGACGGCACAACATTTTGGGATTGGGGGTAGCGGTGAAAAGCATTTCACGCTTTGATGTAGTTATTGTTTTTCTGGAGCTAATGCCTTGGACTAAGAAGTGCCCAAACGATTACAAGGAACCACAAAGAGCCCTCGGCTGAACTATGATCCCTGCGGGAAAACACCGGATCCGGTGTTTTCCCGCAGGCAGGAGAACACCAGAAACGCTCATTGCAGAAAGCTAAATAAATTTGTCAAGCGCTCGAGCAACTTCAACACCTCGCGGCAAAACGAACACGACAAAACTTTCGTCTTCTCTCTTTTTCTGCTCTTCTGTCGCTCTCTTACTCGTCCTTCCTCTCGGGACTGCCGGTGTCAGCACTCGGGATGTGCCGCGTTCTGCCCCCGTCATTACTCCCCTGCGTGTCACCGCACGGATTGCGACAGGAAACATGGCACTTTTAGGTCGTCATCTGCCGGAAATCGACGGAAAACTTTTAAAGACTGGCTAAACGCGGAGACGTGCTCCTGGCTCCGTAGGTAAACTAAAACGAAGAAATTATGATGCAAAAGTCCCGAATACCTGGACAAAATGAAACTCGAACGAGCGTACATTAAAAAGGAGTGCGATGGTGATAACAAAAGAGGAGGTAACATAGAAAAATAAAACTAAATAGAAGACAGGAATGCGAAAAAAAGTAATTTTCTTGGGACGCTGTCCATAGAATTTTAGAAGTGCACGCGTGTTTGTCTTTGCGTGCCTCCAGGCAGGACGCGGGTTTTCAAGCGCGGTTCTTCACCGAAGTTCGCCGGCCTTCCTTACGACTTCTTGTTTTGGTTATCTTTATTTCATTTAAACTACACGTGCGCCATCTCTTTCCACTTTCACTTCCCTCTTCTTGATTTGCCTGTTTTTATAACCTGCCTCGCGGTCTCTCTTGGTTCCGAGAAGGACACAATGCTTGCTTCAACGGCTGACTCAGAAAGACGTCCATCGTTAGCGAATGATGCCTTCTACCCCGAGCCATTTCTTTCTTGCCTTTGATTACTTTAATAATATGCAGGTATAACTGGATTGTTCAGTGATACTTGTAATCAAATCTGTTCAGTTTTACGACAGTTGAAATCAGTGCTCCCTTTAACGACTTTTGCACAGTTTCAGTCGGTTTAACAAAAGTTTGTGCGCCGTATTATTAATGATCTGGAACGTAATGTTACTAGGAAATCTAATTTAGGCATTGAACAGCTGCGAATTAGTTGAACTGTGCATTTTCACTCGAGATTAGATACAGGGTTGAAGAACCGGGACCTTCCATTTCTATGCAACACTACTGGATGTCTCTTCTTATCTATATCCTTCCTCACCCCAGTCATAGCAACCTACAATAAAATAGGCTAATCAACTCGTCACTCGGCGATGTCTGAGCCATTGAAAAACTGACAGAAGCCCATTATTAAGCGATTGATGCTTTAGTTAGGACCAAGTTCAATACTCACTAAAATAGAGCATCGAATGTCCATCTAAGCAAATACAATCGTCACATTAAATCATACTCTCTATCAAAAAGATGGAGATGTTTTAATAACACATTGTTTATAATTATAATGCAATTAAATGCAAAGGTGCAAGCGAGCTGGACAAGAATGATGAAAATAATCCCTGGAGAAGGGGAGCAAGAGGGACAATGGACAAACGTAAATCTCCAAACACAGCTAGGTGACTGGTCATCAACATTGTTTATGTTGCCCTGCGTGCACGAGGACGTTTGAAAACAACAACAATAACAATTTGAACCATTAGTGTCGTTTATGCTTCAACGTCCACCTAATTGCAAGGTCTTGTATGCCCCAACCCCATCGCTCACTAGTCACAACGACCTTGTCTGCGAAATTGCAGTTTGCAGTTTTAAACGTTAATAAGTTAACAAGCAGTAAGCTCTGGACACAATTAGCCTTGGAATGCTTGTTTTGAAAGTTAATTGATGCTGCATCGCTTGGAGATTCGAATCGCAAGTACGGCGCTCACGAACGTCAACAAGTCAATCCTGACCTCTCTGGCATTAATTACTCTGTTCCCCGGATTTAGCCTTGAAAACGCTCTCGTCTTTTTTCCTTCTTCTTCCCCGAACGCGCATGATTCCGGCTATGGTAATCGAATCGACTCCCGTCATGTGCCGGAAGACATTGCCACTTAAAAGTTTTGTGAAGTATATGTAACCAATTCCTAAATTTTGGAGGGCGTGTTTTGAACACGCTCTTAATGTTTTAGAAATTTAGGATACGACAACAGGAAACTTTCCCCACGGATTTCCGAGAACTTTTCATTATCTCTATTGCGGGAATCCATAAATACCGTATAGAGACGTCCGAAGGAGTTTCCTCAGCGCGCCTTCCTGCTAATTCTTGCATGTTACGCATTAAAAAAAAAAAAAAGAAAAAAAAAAGAAAGAAATTAGGTGTCGACGTGGTGTACACCAGACACAATAATTAGCAGCAAAAATGAAACTGGAAGTCCTTATGCATTTCTAAGTCATTTTGTTAAGATGTTTTGTATCGTTGAAAATGTGAGGATCTTAACGCATTTACTGCAAGGCTTTTGGATTAAACGGTGACACGTGGATTGAGAACTACTAGTTTTTTATATGAAAAGGTAATTGTGGAAAAGCTGCTATTATAAAATAATTAAGTGGATCTTCAGCGTAATTGAGGTTGCGTTCCAGAGGAAGTGCTTCGAATAGGTAAAAAAAGTGATATAGGTTTGTATGAAAACACACGAGGCGGCACTCCGTGATTTAGTGTTATGCTTAACTCCAGGCAACAGTTCGTACAAACGGAGAGCACTTGAGAGTAATTGAGTTCTTAAAAGGATTGCCCGTAAGACTCCTGCAAAGTCTGATTCATCAAACAGAATGAGGCTACTGAGCCTGGTATCGCTCTCCTAAACTGAAATTTTGATTTCCAGATGATTCCAAGCTTAAAAAAAAAAACACAAATCTTCAATGCAAAAAAAAAAACAAACAAAAAAACAACTTCAAAAGCGAAAATTGTTTTTTTTTTTTGTATTTTTTTTGCAAATGGCTATTTTGAAATATAAGTCTTTTTTCTTTCGATCTGCGAAGTTTCTAATTTGGTAGACCGACATTGGAGACGTAATAATAATTTATAATGTCGATGCAGGTTGAATTTGCATTGAAATGTTGAAAAAACAGTGTTTTCTCAGTACACAAATTTGGACGCTTAGCAAATTTGCAGGAAGGATATCTCAGCATCTAGGGCAGATGTAAATGTTTTTTTTTTCTACAACATGTAGCTAAATGTGCGAAGCATACAATGTTTGGAGCAGATTCTCCGAAATAGTCATATACAATGTCTTAATTGATCAATTGTTCTCTTACCGGGTGGCCAGACATTGAACACTGAACTTCAATGTATTGTAATACCATTAATGATGACTCAGTCCCAAAAGTGCTTCCAACATTGCATTCTTTACACTTTGTAGTATTTATCCAGGGGGGATCGGTGGCCGAGTGGGCTAGCGCACACCATCTCGGAGCACGTGGAGCGAAAGCTCGCGCTGCAGAACCCAGGATCCTGGGCTCAATCCCCACCCCTGCCCGTTTTGATCTGGATGAACATAAACCGGCGTGCGGTCGTGTATCACTACTGCGCGATGCATGTTAAAGACCCCAGGCTAGCGGTTGTACTTCACTGACTAAATTTCTTATCTAAAACTGGGAGATTCGTCGCCCGTTGAGGCAGGCGAAGTTCTAGGCTGTATAAACATAGATAGAACCCAATTTTTTTTAGAATCTATTCATGTATTAAACAATTGATTTAAACTGTGTTTTCTATTGTTCTTGCAAACAGAGGCGGGCGAGCTTTAGTTATGGACTAATTTACTGGTTGAAAAAAAATTTATATTTTAATTCAGCAATAGAAACTGCAAAATCATTTGCATTTTTATTGGGTTTGGTCCCAGAATAGCTTAAAAAGCTCCAAGACCAATGTTCCCCCGTAAGACAATAAAATATATAGGAGAAAAAAAATGGGCGGCAGTTTAAGGTTTTCCAAAACTGGCTGGATGCATCGAGAGTAATATAGTAATTGATAGCACGCTGAACAAAAAATTACAAAGCAAAAAAAAGTAGAGGAATGTTAACGAGACATGCAAGAGTAAAAAGTGAATTCTGTAGTGGAGAATCATCATTGCAGACTTGAAGCTTAAAGGAATTTATATTCTGGATCTTGTTCTTGGTTGCAAGCTTCCAGTTATCGTCTCCGGTTTTGGGAATTACCGAAGAAGATGCAACAAGCGAACCTGAATATAAGACAAAGTATAACGCTAATGTGCGGATTGCTCTGCTCTTAATCGTGATTTTTTAAAGATATTTTTGACACAAGTATTGATGATTCACCGAAGAAAGTTGTAGCCTCTACTTTCGTGGAAACCAATTTCGGGAGCCAATCCTCGTAATCTACGAAAAACAGTCGGCGAATGACGAGGCTGGAATTATGTGTAGACCTAACTAATAATAGTCTGAGCTGTGGCACTGAGCATGACGTTTTACCATGCTCAAAACCAAAACTCAGACATTTTTCGTTAAGTCTAAACACATTTCAAGCTCCCTTTTTAGATTGCAATGATTGGTTCTCCACTTGCTTTGTGGTAAAGCAGACGCTCCTGATTTCTTTGAGTGTATTGTGAATTGTACGTGTTTTAAAATTAGCTTTCAAGTGGTACCCTATCCCTGAAAAACTCTGAAACCCAGATATGTGAGATGTGTAAATTTGTTTTTTAGGCCCGGGAAGGGGGGGGGGGGGGATGTCGAAAGTGAAGTTCAACGAATTTAACAAAGAATGCACCAACATACGTCCGAATCATTTATTGCCGGCTGTTTTGTAAAAGGAAGAAAGGGAGAGGGAAGTGCTACTAACTCTGTAGCACTGCAATAAAATGAAACGAAAAAATAAAACACAATCAACACGCGACTGGGTGAAACTGTTCACACGTTTAACATTACACAACGACCATTGGTACATAAACAACGTACGCTTCAACAATATATCACAGATTCAGTTCATGTAACCTTTTGGGCTCAATTAGGCAAAATGTTTGTCTGCATAAAAGGCGAGGAGCCTCACTCTATGATGGGAGGCGCTCAGAATGTCGCTGAAATCACGCTGGAAATGAATGGGCGTTTAATCTTATTTTGAGACAGAGCATAACACGCCTTAGGGCTTCGCACGCTTGTATTCGTCTGCCCCTGGTATAAATATCAAACCTTTCATCCTTCTTCTAAAAGTAGGTCTAAAAGCAGAGATGGCGACAGACATGACAACGTGTATAAAAGGGCGAACTGCAGCAAAAATAAAAATGGCGTCAGTTGAAACGTTTGTCATGTGAGTTGACTTTCTTGAAAGGGAACGGTTGTAAAATTAGTTACCCGACGAGAAATCGATCCCAACTCAGAACTAATACTTACGTTTAAGCCACAGAAACAGTTTTGTGACAGATACGAGATTCAGTGGTAGTAACATGTTTTCGAAACTAAATTTAGTACTTTGAACAATATTTCCGGCAACGCAGCGCTAGTGCATAACCTTTGGATAAAGGGATAATGCGCAGAAGCAACAATATAATATTCACTGCAGTACTTGCGACTGCAAACGACAAAGCAGGTCTGACACAAAGTCAATTCAAACAAAACGTCCTTTACATTATTTGCGGGGTGTATGGAACCCTATACATTGTGATGTAAAATGATTATAAAACGCAGTATAGTTCTAAATAAAGGCATATTTAAACACTTGAATGTTTAACAAATTGGGCAAGATATCTTCGCCATTATTAGCCGATGCTTACTTAGTGTTGGTATGGATGGTATGTAGATGACATCTCGGCCTTCCAATACACAACACGTTCACCCCAAAGAGGTATAACAGGTAGAACGTAGATGACCTAGACGTCAACGTTAAATTGCCGCACGTAGTACAATAACAACTTGATAGGCACCAAGAATAAGAAAGTCACTATCAACTGAGAAGGACAACATAAAGGCTGGTAAATGTGGCGTCAAAAAACGACTTAAGCTCTAAAACTAAATAAGAATGCTAACCAGATTCGGGACAATAAATTGTTGACATCGAGTAAAATGTGACTCGAGGAATAACGCAAACGTAAGTACTAATATCAAGAGCGACAACAGGACCACGCTTGATCACGTCCTATGGTTCTTCAGCTGTCGAAGACGATAGTCTCAGCTACTGGTAATAACGATGGCTTCACGTGGCCGCAAAATCGGGTGGTGCGAGACCCACGTGCGAAAGATGAGAGTCGCTTTAGTATGCCTTCTCGAGGACGGACTTGATCCAGGGGATGTGGTTGCTGACCCTGAGGAACATTCCGGCAATGCTGGGGCCCATGGTCACGTCCTCCTTGAGGGTGGCTACGCCAGCGCACATGTACCTGCCTCCAGATGGGCCACGTGGCACACAGGCCAGACCGCCTCCCGTGCACGACTGTAAGAAAGACGAGAAGGGAGCGTTAGGCGTTTGCAGACATGTACGAGTACATGTTACTGCCTGGACCATTATTTTTTTGTGCCGGGATCATTCATTTGATTTGCAGCAGCATGCAATAAATAAAAGTAACTAACAAAACAACTAAACACAATAAAAATGCATTACTCGTTTCTTCTCTTCAAACTAGGTGGTTACTTCGTTACTAATAATGTACTAGGTACAAGTAACGCGTTATATACGAGTGTGGGATTTTGAAAGTGTTGCACTTTTTTATTAATATCTCGTGTTACGCAAACTATGTCGAAAGTTGTTGAAGTAAAATATGTACCGTATGGTGCAAATATAGCAGTTTATTAATTAACGGTGTCGACAGGGATGAGGGAAGCCGCACGATCATAGAAGTATTTAGGCATCGGCATAAAACGTGAAAAAGTTTCGTTCAGTTGGATACGCCGCAGGTTATACGAGTAGATGCTGTTATTGATATTGTACTAAAATAAAAAAAAAAGCTGTCAAAGAAATTATAAAGCAATAGTGAATAAAATGAAATTCTCCGCCGTAAATGGTAATAGTTCCCCTCCGAAATATCCTGAATATATATATATATATATATATATATATATATATATATATATATATATATATATATATATATATATAAAGACCTATTCCGGTGTTTGGAACGAACACACGTCAGTGAAGTGCCATTATACTAAAAAAAAACTAGCTTTTTTAGAGCTGATGCCGTGTTTCTCAGAGACGCAAAAGACTAGGATGCCCAAAACAACGACATATCTTTTCTTGGCGCATCTGACTATCTCCTTGACTATCAGACGATAACCACTGAAAGTACTTGAGGATGTCTTATTGTTGGTAAATAAAACCAACCGGATATTACCTTTTGCACTAGACCATTATTTTATGCGGAGCTTAGACATTGCATTTGCTGTAAGCGCGCAGTAGGACGCTGGCACTTAGAGCGACTTATATGAGCGAATCCGATGGTTTTTAACTTTAGGAATGATGAGACACGGGCTTACCTGGAAGCTCATGATTCCGCTTGGCATTGCGCAGCACATGAAGTCGTTCTTCAGCTCGTAATCCTTGCCGAGAGAAGATTCAGATTTTATCTTGGTCTGGCAGACGTCGTTACTCATCGTTGGCACTCCGATCTTGCGCAGGGTGTCGTAGCGGTTGACCTCTGCAGAATGGACAGGAAGAAGCGATCCAATGTTACAACATGTTTCGCTGAACACGGGTAAACCACTTCAACTGGATACCGAACTCTCGGATATTCGGCGTGTGTAGTTATTTATCAGGGTGTTATGGCGTTCAGTATGCTGCATGGTATTCCAAATGTTTTAACACAATCGAAATCACAGCTCCTTCAAGAACTCTTAAAAAAGTTTTGGCTTCACGTTTTACGGATATATCGTTCTATATTTACGAGTTTTTTTATGAGGAGTAGATAAGTAATGGTTTCTAAATATAAACGACGTGACCTGAGTTGCCGAAAAAAATAGTAACTTGTATCTACGCATGCTCATGATATAAATAATCAAGTAGCGGACCGGTGGTTCCCACACTTTGCAATCTAGATTGAAAAAATACCGAAATATTACTAAATTGTACAGTGTACATAAATGTCTCAGATCGGAATGATTATTGCAGTCTAAGCCAAAGTGGTTGCTCATGAGCATGTAGCTCTAGTATTTGTATACAGTTAATTATGAACATGAGTATAAAAAAAATGAAAGCCGCTTACAAATCCCTGTAACGCCGAATTGGAGCGCAGCTCTTGAGGAGGGGTAGGGAAGGGTACTGAGGGGGGTCACGTCACCTGCGGGTAGTCACGTGACCCCGGGGGTCACGTGATCTCGGGGGAGGGGGGGTCACGTGATCTCGGGGGGGGGGGGTCACGTGACCCCCCCCCCCCCCCCCCCCCCCGGTTACGCCGACGCCGACGCCGCTCAGGCTGGAAACGGGCCCCTAAGAGCTGCGCTCTAAAAAACTCATATAGGGGGAAGGGTGTGGCTGTGAGGAAATTCGATTAAAACTTAGGTTGACGATAACCCTCAAACTTCCGGGCAGAACACAGCGGAAAAATGACACAAGTCAAGCATTCTTAATTTTAAGACTGCGAGTTGAACTAGTTGGTGACGTGTTCTACGTGCCACTCATCATCTTGTCATCGTTTCTTTTTTTTTTTTGGCGCGATCCACAGTATGTATCAATCTTGATTTCTAAATTTGTTCTCTACATTGCCACGCGCGTCGCTGAGTGAGCACGTGCGTGGCCAAATGATTACAGCGCTTGACTGTCGCGCGGAAAGTCTAGGTTCGATTCTAGTAAGCGGAATGTTCTTTTATTTATTATTTCAACTTGGCTTTCTCGTAAGCTGAAGAACATTATCGTCTGATCGAGTTCCGATTGTTCTACGCGCCAAAAGTTCTACGCCGAATGTTTCAAAAGCCCACGCGTGTACATAGGGGGCTCCGCGTGGCGAGCCGCAGTCAGTCTCGCCCCAGCTCTCGATCCTGCTGTTTCACCGATATCGACGCCTGCAATGCTATCCTTCTATTTTGTATTGGACACAAGTTCGTTCCATTACATGTTTAGGTTGCTTCAGTTTTTATCGCCTCATCAATTGTCATTCGTGACAATATTTGGGTGCAATAAATAAATCACGGCCCTTCGGAGCATGAACCATCCGCGTAAATTTGTAGTCAATGTTCTCGATGTAATATCGCAGGGACACTCACTCAGCGCACTGTTGGGCCATCCCGTTGCAGAGCAGTCATACTCGTCGAAGGACTGGTCCTGGTTCTCGGGAAGACAGATAGGAGTGACGTCATCATCCAAGATGGCTTCCTTCTTCAGAACCACGACGGCGAGGTTGTTGGCGTAGGTGTCCGGGCCGTAGGACGGATGGAGAACGATCTCTTGGACTCCGTAGGTGTTCCTCTCACCGTTCTTGAGGAGGTTGCCCAGTTGAACCAGGAGGATTTCAGGTGTGCTTCTGCAAGGGCCAAAGAAGGAAACAATCTTTAGGATCGTCAATAGACATAATTCCATTGTTTACAAAAACCACAGCCCACACGCGCTTTATCCCATATCACTTTTATTTCCCGGCGGCAGCGCATACGCTACAACGATCCACCAGAGCCAATGATGCAGCGTCAAAAGTGTCTCGTCACGGCGTTCGTTGTCTTCACGGGTTTGTCATTACCGGCTGAAGCAATCACGCACTAAAAATACGCAGGATTGGGGTGCCTTCACTCTGCGTGATTGGTTTACTGGGTGATGGCAAACGTACAAAGGAGATTAGCACCATGACGATGCACTTTTGGCTCTGCTTGATCGACTCGATGGGGTCGCAGCGTCGGCTGCTTTTGGACCTAAAGTAAAATGGAGTATAGATTGCCTTCTAAGAAATCCGGGACATTCATTGATTCATTGATTCATTGCGTCTGCTTTCCCCCTGGTGATTTGAGACAGCCAATCGCTGAAGTAAATGGCGTCGGAGCTCGAGAAATGAGTGGGCTGATGATACGTTTAGACATAAAATAACCAGTCTGCGCTGTGATATTTTCGCTCTCCCAAGTGCTTTGCGGGAAAGTAGACGCTACATATTTCTTAACGGTGCACAACCCAGCATGCACTTGCTCGTCGTTTCAGAAGACGAGGAAAGCACGCGCCTTATGCAAGAACATTGAAAATGCCACCGGCGCTACAAGTCCTTTGTTGGAAGGGTCTGTGCTCTGCTCTTGAACAGACTGGCTAATAAGGTAAAGCCGTTGTTCTTGAAAGAATCGTGTAATACAACTGTACTTGTGCCTCGTTTTGTATATCTTTACAGAGGCAGATAGATGTACATACCTTTACTAGTTCGAGGTAATACTTACCTTAATGAAAATATGAATATTGTGTTTGTCTTTTTTTAAAGCACGCGTGTTATTATTGTATATACGTTATTTCTTTTGTGGTCACACGTAGAAGTATCGAGATCATCTGGGTGTTACCCGCGTAATACGACTAGGCTTTCTGAGATATGGCTTAAAGACGGCGATTATGAATTCAACTTTAAGGAGGTTCTTTAAGGTTGTGTTACGTGCAGAAAACTTTTATGAACTAAGGAACCAGAAAGTTGGAAGGAGAATATTCACGGTTTCCTACGTCCTCTAAAAAAATGTTGTACCGGTTCTTCGAACCTCGTACTCGAAAAGACGTGACGCCCTGCACGTCGGAAATCGGTTCTCCAGCCTTGACCGTGCTTCAAATAGGGCTATTTCCACAAAGATAGCATCTCGCGCTCAATGCACCGCGCAAACGGGTTCACGGCAGGGTGTTCGCGAAGATAAAAATGTAAAAGACAAACAATTAAGGACTTACGCTATCTTGGCGACGCAGTGGGCTGGAGCCAGGACATGCCTTGCGGTGACCAGTGTCGCCGCGCAGAAGTAACGTTTGGACTTGTCCACTTGCTTGGCGAGGGTCGCCTGCGCGTGGGAACAACAAGCGAACGAAATGGCGCGTTAGGTAATTCCGTCTTTTTTTTTGTCGCAGATTGTGTGTCGTAATCGAGACTGGTTACGCGACCGGCGAAAACGGTGCCGATGGACAGAAGATTACATTCCGCGTTTTTTGTTGTTGTTTGTTTTTCCTGAGGCGCTCAGAAGGACGTCGGGTTTGGGTGGAACGGTTTGAGTCCAGAGTATTGTTACGATTTATTTGTGGTTTCATATCGGAAGTAAGCACTTCAGTTCTTTCCCTCGTTGTCGCTTGCCTTTCCAACGGGTCCAGAAATGCTATACATGGCTATATCCAGAATCGGGTAATTAAGACCATGTATGGCTATATGACCTTACATGCCCAATTCTTCAAATAGCCCTATGCGGCATTTTTGTACTGGAAAACACCGATGTTTTACGCTGGAGTCCATTTAGTTCTGAAATATTTTAAAAATATACTTCAGTATTTGACTTGCATTATTCCATAACTTAAATATAATTAGAACCGCGAATAGCATTGTTTTATGCGTTCCACAGCAATACCCCGAAGAAAAAAGATTGGTACAGCAAGTCATTATCTGTGTTATGTATTAATACTAATAAAATACCCTGCTTCGTCCTGCCTTAAATATGTATACAGAAATCGGTTTGGTTCTATGCTGCAATTTATATTTTCCCCGCACGTTGTTTTAGACCTGTTTTGAAATTAGAAAAACAAAATTATGTCTAGAAAATATACTTCGAAATCAATGACAAAATCTGGTCCATTATTTGAACAGCTGTGATCCATGCAAATATGGCACCCCTGAGGACTAATTGTAATAATTGCACAGCCTTTAGGTAATATGTAGTCCGTTAACAATGATCAGTATTTACAATGCTTCTGAGGAAGATGTCAGTAGAAGCACTTCAGTAAGATGGAAACGTACGCTATACAACAAGTGACTTGACTAAAATAAGCAAAAATATTTGTACCTGCCAAGGGAATGTTCCTCTAAGAGAGGGCTGCTTCTTGGGAATTCCACACTGTGCGTACTGCCAGGACGACGGCTTGAAGTCCAGGTCAACGACAGGCGGAACCACCGGTTCGCCGCCCTTGGGAACTTCCGGGTAAGGTGGAACTTCCGGTTGCAGCACATCCGTCTGGGGGGGCACGTCAGGGTACGGTACTTCCTTGGGAGGAATTGGCTTTTCGTACGGCACATCGGGTATCTCTGGAATCGGTTGAGGAAGAACAGGTGGCAGCACTGGCTTTTCGTGTGGCTCTTTTGGCACAACTTCCGGCGGATATTCAGGTACAGACACAGGCGGAGGAAGCACTGGGTAAGGTTTTTCGGGAACTTCTGGTGGGCCGTACGGTTTCTCATCTACAACTGGTGGAAGCACCGGCTTCTCGGGAACTTGAGGAGGGAGAAGCGGACCCTCCGGTGGTCCGTATGGCTTCTCCTCAATAATTGGGGGAAGTACAGGCTTCTCTGGAATCTGGGGAAGAAGGGGGTTTTCTGGAAGGCAATCGGGCGTGGTGCATTTAGGCGCGGGTTCGGGAACAAACGGTATCTTGGGCTCCTCTTTAATTTGATGCCTACAGGGACAGTCATCCACATCTTGGGGATACTTGTTCAGTGGAGGACCTTGGTTAGGGACTGGCACGCCGGGATGCTTGTGGTGCGGTGGCTTGTTGTAGTCGTGAACATCAGGGTACTTGTCATGTGGCCCCAAGGGCGTGTCAGGGTGCACCTTTGTAGGAACCTGCTGTGACTCGCTTGGGTATTTGTCGTCTGAGGGAGTTTCAATGTTGGCTGAGCTACCGGGGGTCTTGTCACTCGGAGGGGGACCAGCACCATCGAAAGGCTTGGGACCGTCGGGCTTCTTGTCTTCACCGGGCGCTAAGGGTCCAGGTCCGCCTGGAAGCGGGCCACCAGGACCCTGAGGGCCACCGGGACCCTGAGGGCCACCGGGGCCCTGAGGTCCACCGGGTCCTCCGGGACCTCCTTGAGGGTAGTCGGGACCACCCGGACCGCCTTGAGGGAAGTTAGGTCCTTGAGGATAGCCTGGTCCCTGAGGCCCGCCCTGGGGAAAGCCTGGCCCTTGAGGTCCACCCTGAGGATACCCCGGTCCCTGAGGCCCGCCTTGAGGATAGCCCGGCCCTTGAGGTCCCAGCTGTGGTGGTCCTCCTGGTCCTCCTTGGGGATAGCCAGGTCCTTGTTGGACAACTTGCGTATCAACAGGTACTCCTTGTCCTTGAGGAAAGTTGGGCCCTTGTGGACCTTCCTGAGAAAATCCTGGTCCCTGCGGACCACCTTGGGGGAAGTTTGAGCCTTCCGGTACCACTTGGGGCCCTCCTTGTTGGAAGCCCGGTCCCTGAGGGCCCTGGGGACCCCCTTGGGGATAGCCACCTTGGGGATATCCTCCGTATGGGACACCAGGAAAACCGGTGTTGGGGAATCCGCCACCAAAACCACCGTAGCCGGGGAATCCTCCCCCTTGGAATCCTGGAAAACCGCCTCCATAAGGATAGCCTCCTCCTCCTCCTTGCGGATACTGCGGGCATTGGCACTGGCAGACTGGGCATCCTGGTAGTGTTTGGCCACCTGGACCACCCGGAAAGGAGCCGAAGGGAACGTTGGGATTGTTTCCGAAGTTAGGAGGAACTCCGTTTGGTCCTTGAGGTGGAACGTTAGGTCCACCGGGCCCTCCTGGAAAGTTACCGGGTGGTGGCGCGCCCCCAGGTCCTGGTGGCACCAACTTGTCACCGGGTTCGTCACCGGTCTTCCCTGCCGGGAAGGGCGGCCCCTGGTTGTCAGGCTTGGGAGGAGCCCCGTCAGGAGAGGGTGAATCTGGGGCTTTGCCGGGAGGGGGAAGCGCAACGTCGGGCTTCTCGTCCGTCGGGGACGCAACATGAGGGTCCTTGAGGTCCTCTAGAGGGTTCTTTGAATGCTCGCCGCCTTGCGGAATATCAGGGTATTTCTGGTGATGGTGGTGCGGCCCATTCCCGTTTTTCGTGTGGTGCCCTCCAGGAACGTGTGGTGGTCTATCCTTATGAGGGTGCTTTGGTTGTTTTGGCGAATCGGGAACATCAGGGTATTTACCCTGAGGGACTTCTTCAGAAGACTTGTCGTCCGGGTCGTCAGGCGAGCCGGAATAAGTGACGCCGTCCGGCCCCAGGAGTGCAAACCGTCGTCCAGCAACACCTGTAGGTCTTACGCGGCCCAGCGATCCAGGAAGACCGGATGATGCGGTCTCAAGGACAGTTACACCGACTAGAAGGACTGCTGTCCAGGACACCAAGGTCCTCATTTTGGTTTCTGAAATTGACAAAATAAGACAAGTATTGAATTCAAAAATGAATTACATCGATAACAACGACTCAAGCACACGTTTAAAAAAAAATGTGAGGCGTGCTTTTAACTTATAAAATATTGCGTTTTCTTGATGTATTGGAAAATTAAATAAAAAACGAGTAAACGTTAGTCAGTATTTTCGTAACCACCCCTTATAATGAATACTTGGGGACTTTAAAATAATCGCGAGCAAAGTTTTTACGTAAGAGTTTACTTTCCAGAAGAGACAAATCCTGAAATCAAAGTACATACCTCGCTTTAATTCTAAATTGTGCTATATTTAATAAATTATTTCTCGAATTTAGTTTATACTTCTATTAATCCATTGAAAAAACGTTTATTTAGGTGGTGTCAATATGTAACTGCGAATAATTTTAGCTTTTCACTCAAAAAGCTAGAGTTTGGAAGGACCTCCTACTAGCTTGCATAGTTGCCTCGCTTTTTGATTATTTTTAAAGATTTTGAAAATGAAGTTAAATTGTAACTGGTCCTGTAACTATTGTCATGTACAAGGCCGAAAAGGAATGCTTCTAAGTACGTCTAAAAGATTCCTGTTTACTCTTACCCCAAGCGTAACAAATAAGGAGGTCAACATGATCATGACGAGTCACTAACCTGAGTGTTCGACGCTCAAAAATTCTAGACCGAAAGCTCGAGATAGCGAGGGTCATAGAGCAGGAGCTTAGCGCGACCTCACCGACTCACTCAAACACCCTCGCGCTAGTCAGCTGTTATACCGACACCTCGACACTCGCTGCTGCTTTATGGACGCTCGTTCTTCCTTTTGTTTCTGGCACACGTTCGACGATTAAACCTTTATGAAATTTTAGTCTTTGAGACCCTTTTTCATCAGGACAGTATGGCACGACGAATATTATCATACGAAGTCACAATTCAGGGGGATTGGAATTTGAATAGCTGGTAATGAGTACAATATAATGAGTGAGGTTTTTTAGTAAAGAATAATGAGAACCTAAATACTAGATTTTTTACATTTGAGTGTCAATATAAGGTAGTTTTGAGATGATCAAGTAACAAAAAATGTTCTTATTGATTGTGGAATGAGTGTCGTTTAAACTTTGTTTACTTTCACGGAAAAGTCTCGAAGCAAAGGTTGTGAAGAATTTTACCACAAACTTTCGTGAGATAGGTGGAAATTTGTAGATGCTTTGGACAAAAATAACTACTGTGATATTTCACTACTTGTCTTTTGACTGGTTAGACAAGCGCATCCGGATTAAGTAAAATCTTCAAAGCGAGGAACGAAATTATTTGTCGTGCAGAAAACAAAAACAATGTGCAAAAACTACGTTAAAGTTCGTGTAGCCTTTTTTAAGCTTATTACTGGAGACGGAAATACCTGTAGCGCAATGTACCAATCAGTTTCCCCTAGACTTTCCTGCCATGTATATCTATTTCCTGGAAGATCAGTGAAGTGATCACGGGGAAGCTAAACAACCTTTTAAAGGGTTATGCACATCCTTGCCTCGTCGCTAAGAGCCATCTCCGGAACTGATGCCTAAACTTCAACACTTCTGAGAGGAAAAAATAAAGAAAAATGAGAGGCCTGTTGACGTATAGGTGGCTTCATGGGCCCCGCCTTCTTAACCTTATATGTCAGTGTTTAGTCTTTGTTCGATTTATGTTTCCTCAAAACATAGTACAAGGTAAGTTTCTTTCCTTTTTTTTTCTTTTTTTTGAGCACTCGCGTAGAAAACATTTCCATGGCTTAGCTTATTTTGTTTCGCTTAATTTGTCTTCTGAGGCCGTTTCGGGAGCCTTGCTTGTTGAGTTCAAGGTCCCTGTGAAATTGTGAACGTTTTTTCCTTGTGCGGTCGTGGCTTGTGTTTCTTTTAGGATTACGATCTATCCATGTACCTGTTTACTTCACATTGTCTGGCGCTTATTACGACAAATTTATTGAAAAGAAGCTGCCGCACTTTTCAGGGAATATAAGTTAGGAGCGAAATTTTATAGCTTTTCGTTCCGTGGATTCAGATACAGCACCCATTCTGGGCAGAGGTAAACTTAAACCGCATTTAGTTTGAAAAAAAAAAAAAAATACGTGCAGCGATTGCCGCCGGGTATGCGGCGATCCACTCTGCCACCTGTTATCTTCCCAGAGCGTCGTGACGTCATTGACGGCATCTCCGAGCCAAGTTAGTGGCGAGAAAATGTCATATGATCCCGATGATGACGTCACTCTTGGTAGTTCTTATCTCCGCTCTCGCGCTTTCCTACGGTCGGCGCGCCCCAGCGTGCGGGTCTACGTCGAAATTTTAATTGGCTATTACGATGCTCCCATTGATCAGCTCGAAAGAAAACTTAAGAGACACAGTCTTTAAGTTGTCTACATTACAACTTTTACTGCCTGTTCGAATTCAAAAACCTCTTCAGCTTCCTTTTAAGGAAGTGAAAGAACAGTGGTGCGCAGGCGAGCTGGTGGAAGTTGATCATGATGTAGAATACCCGAGTGATCGGTCTAATGACCCATGAGAAGGGGTCATTGGAATGGGGTCTCCTGCACTTGTCGACGCCTGACAAATATGATTCAACTACGGCTCTAGTCGTAGATTCTGCTGGCGTCTTCAGCTATAGTTTTAGAACTCGTCCTGTATTCCCTGACAGCTTCACAAACGTCGGGCGTCGAGAGCGTGTCCTGAACATATTATTATCGCTCGCAGCCAATGACGTTGCGAAATTTGCAGATAAGAACGCAAAAAAAAATAAAACACGAATCACGAAATAAGAAACGTGAACATAATAAACCTCGCCCTAAGTTTCTTAAGTTGTCAGTAACTTTAGCTGCATATTAAGGTATGCGCATATATGAATTTAAGACTCAACCGTATTCTTAATAGAATCAGTTATAGTAAAAACAAATTGTTTTTTGTACATTTTCTAGAAAACATTCCCATCGCATGCGGCAACGAGGCGCGCGTGCTTGGCATTTTTAAAATATAGCTTTCGCGGCAGCCTCAATAAAAGATATGGTTAATGGATTTTAATTATTATACAGAGTGGCGTGTTTTGTGAAATATTACTTCTTCAGATAATGTACCATAATATGAAAAAGAAGATTAAAGGAATATTCGGTGTTTACTTGTTGATACCTATATATGGTGAACAATTATAATAAATGTCAAGTTTCAGAGTGCCTACGAAAAGTAGGACTGTCCCGCCTGTCTCTTAAGATATGTACCGATTTCTTTCCTAAAAAAGTATTATTTTAAGTTACAGCAAAAAACATGCTCATGATAGGGTGGCCATCTAGCTCATGATCAATAAAAAATGTGCGCATGACAAAGGATTCGTAATATGGCACTACAATTATAAGGAGACAAACAAGCGTGTTAGTTGAGTTGGGGAACACCGAAGGAAAAAGACGAAGGTGGGACGAGAGATGGCGTAATTTTAAAATTTAAGATTACTGACTGAGCGTTAAGCTTAAATACCTCCACATATGCATATTTAAAAAAAAAGTGCCGTTAATAGAGGGCTCTAATGGTATTCAACGGGTTCGTGCTTGTTGCATAATGAAGTGAATAAAAAAAGGAGGCTGGTTGTTTACTAATTACTTCATTCCCAGTCGGCGACCGCAAAATCGGAGGTAATTAAATCGCTAGGAACGCCGAATGATATACAGGTTATGTGCGTATCACAACAAGTAATGTACAAAGTAAATAACGAATACTGCTAATGATTTATCACCGACTCGCCAAGACGACATTCAAGGACAGATACGGGGTAGTAAAAATGCGATTAGGTGATACAAAATCACAAACTCAAACTGAAGTCACGTAAATTATTCCGAGCAGGATTTCACAGACAAGTATAAAACTGAGAGAGAAAAAAAAAAGGCTGACCCAAATCACGCAATGGACTTCTTGAATAAAAAGAAATGCACGAACAAACATAAATGTTGAAGGTCGACTAATATACCTGCACTTTGAGTGTACTTATAACATGCGAAGAAAACCACGAGAATAAAGTAAAGAATAAAATAAATTAATTACTCCATTAATCTTTCGGACAGCTATGCATCTCACGGACTTGTCTTTGGGTGCGACTAGTCCTTAATGTTCCCTGATGAATTCTGCCTAAGAAATCTTTGCTCATTATGTCGACATTAAATATTCCGCAGCTGGCTTCACCAGGCAACGTTTTCCATTCTCGCGCTTTGAATGCGCCGTTGCGCTTTTTGTTGGTTTGGTCTTCCCCTCACTGCCAAATATCCAAGGAGCGTTGGGACAACAGGCTTTTAGGACCTGGTACACGCATCGAAGACCGAATCTGACTGGCATTCAATAGTAATACATTCAATACAGGTTCCAAAAAGGGACTAAGCTAAAAGGTGTGTTCGAATGTGGTTTGCATTATATAGAACACAATTAATGCAGGCTCAACAAAGAAGCTATACAAACAAATTTCAAATGTGACTAGTGTTCAATACAATACATTTAGTACAGGTTTCATAAAGCGACTATTCCAAAAGAGGTTAGCATGTGATTGGGAATAAGTAAAATACATAAACCGTAGGTTCTACAAAGGTCAGATGCTAAAGGGCATTCGAATGTGATTGCCATTCAGTACAACAGTACAATACATTCAGCACATGCTTTTCAAAGAGTTCTTGCTCTAAAGTGCTCGAATGTGATTGGCATTCGGCGCGGTACATTCAACACAAGATCTACAAAGAGTGATTGACATTCAAAACAATGCATTCAATAAAGGATAAAAAAAGATACCCCCTCCAAAAAAAAAAAAAAACTGTGAATACACAAAAGCTCACCGTGATATATTTCCCAAAGGCCTTGCTCTGTGAGTTTATTGTTTACTTCAAAGAATTCATTAGTTACTTATTTAAAATAATTATTTTATTAATCTGCCCTTAAAGTTATTACCCTTTAAATTTTACAGCCTTTGAAGATTTTATGGTAAAATATTTTGTCGTTGCTTATTTGTTCTGCACGAAATATGTCAGATCGGAGCTGCGTTCGCGATTTCAATTGAATAGAACGGGCATACGAAAGCCTTTCTGGAACCGGTTTTGTCAGGAGAGTATCTTAATGTTATTTGTATAATGAATAGGCAAAGTTCGATTAACAATTTATTGCAATAGGTCCCACAATGAAGGTAGAATCAATACTATCCTGATTCAACCATTCCTGACAAATTACAAGTCTTCTTTGGTGACTCTAAGGTGTGCAAGATTCGTAGCTAGCGTCGGGTTAAAACATACAATTGAGCAGCCTCCTACTTCCTCTGGCACATCTAGTGCATATAGGCGAACACACTTATTTAGACATGCTATCGAACCTCAAAAGTCTAAGATAGCGCGAGTAGACAGGTAAACTGGTTTGTAATTCAAAGAAATAAAAAAAGCGTTGTGGGTCTATAAAGTGTTCTCTGCTTAACATTTGCTGTACAAATATGTTATTCAAATAAACCCACTCACAAGGTGTTATGCATGCAGAATCTACTCGTGCTAGCGGACAAATTTAAGCAGACTATCTTACTATAGTAGAACCTAAGGAAGGACGCAGTTTCTTATCTTGTCGCTTCATGATTGGTCCTTCGACGTCTTATCGGCTAGTGCTGCAATCCCATTGGCTGTGAATCGATAATTGTATGCACGGGACTCGCGACACCTTGCGTTCCTTAGGCTGTCGGCGACTGTAATCACATTTAATTTCAAATGAAAGAGCCAATCTCAAATTTAACTTGCAAACAACTAGGAGTACACAAGAGCCCCTTCAACTCGTCTCGGTTTTTTTTCTTCTCTCGATGGGCCATAAATTAGCAACTGAATGGTGCAGCGTCGTTCGTAATACATTTCCGAAAAAAAAAATGATCTGGCCTTTATTTTCCACACCACACTTAACAGGCCTTATTGCGATCCGATGTTTACTTTCGACAATGGCCAAGTTCACGGTAATTTTAAGCCTATCATAAACGTATATGTAAAACCAGTCTACTTACCAGATGGTCTCCTGCTGACTTCCGTGCAGTTTTCGCCTCCTCTGAAGTTTTAAGCCGGCGTCCCGCGGCGAGAAAAAACAAACGATCCCCAACGCGCAGAGAAGGAGCAACTTTCTGTGTCGACCCGGAGAGAAAGCTTTTGCCCACCTCGCCGCTTGTGCCGGAGGAGTGGTATCCTGTATTTTTAAAACCCCCCCTTCCTTCCACCATCTAGATACCCCTTTCACTTTCTCGACTCTCTCACCCGTTCTCACCCTCTTCACTCTCGCGTGGTAGGTTTTCCTCCTCAACTCTCACCAAAAAACCGAGGGAGGTGGGGGGTGACTCAGGCCGAATTACGACGGTTTCGTGGAGAGGGAGAAACCTCGATAATGGTGTCTGCAACAACCGAGTCGAGTCCAGTGGCACTTCTCGGGAAACCTGCTCCTGAAACCGCATACACACCACGTGGTGCACTCTTTTTTTTTTATTCAGCGGACTTAACCTCCTCTCCCCCACCGGGCAAGCGCTCCATTACTTCCATGGCAAAAGTTTACGCAAAAGAAAAAAGAGCTTCCTCTTCTTTTTGTTTTGTTTTGTTACTTTATACAGAAGGTTTGCCCGTGTGACGAGAAGGCTTATGGTCTATAGAAAAAAAAAACAGTGAAAAAAAAAAAAAGCTTCGGGTTGTCCACAGTGACGTTGCCTGCCGTACGTCATGGTTTGTAGGATCGTTTCCGTCGTTGCGTGTCAGTGTCAATGTCATCTGTCTGAATAGCCGACGAGCCGGCCGGTTCACGTGCCAATGGTAATATGTCCAGACGGGGTTATACCTCGAAGACACTTCCCTTAGGTGTCATCTGTAGAAAACGTCGATGGGAGGGAAGGACAGGTGTGTCGATTTGCGGTGGTTAGGTCACATAAATTTTCTATGGCGGATTCTTTCACAATAGAAGTGACGTGTCTGACACCAGCAATAGGTTCCCTGGTATGGTTTTGTGAAATAATTTGTCTAGTTTTTCCTTTGTTTTAATTTACGCGCTATTATCTTAGTGCGCGACGTGTGGAGATTACTGAAATGCGCGTAATTGTACAGGCGGCGATAATAACTGTGACTTCGAGAGTCAAGATATAATAGAAATTATTGTCGAGAGCGCTCGCGGAAGTGGCGAAAACTTGTTCATGTATCGTGACAATACCTCATTAGGGATGCTACTTGAGCGAAGGTCACGTCGCCTAACTCTTCAATTATCGCAATTACGAGTAATTTTGTCTCTTTTTAGAAGGCAAACGCCAGCACAAAAAAAAAGTGTTTTTTTTTGTTGACATTTTTGTTATCCGCGTGAGGAGCTCCAGCCTCAGAAGTCAGGGATTTGAATCTTCGCTATGCAATTTGCCCATCCCTGATTAGCAGGAATGGCATCCAACTCTAGGCATCAAAAAACGCTTCGGGTGCTGAGTTGGGTAGCCCTTCATTTGCACGAAACCCAACGTAACTAGACCCGTGTTACTCTAATTATGTTCGCGTCCGCGACGTGGGTAAACATCTATTATATTTCCTGGTCGTTTGCGACATCCGATGTTTAGTATGCAGTTTTCACCAGGAGATTTTCAAGGCGCTTCTGGAGCTTTCGTAAAATGACATATTTACTTCTAAATGCCTGATTGGTGCGCTAATAAAACTAGCGTTATAAAAGATCTGATATATTTAAGAAAAATTTTGTGTGAGGGACTATCATGAATGGTATAGTCTTTTGTAGCTTTGATGTCATGTTGTGACTAAAAATGACAAGGGAGGCGACTTCCATAAGTATGTCGAAACGACACTATGTGCTTGAGTAAATCTCAGGTAATGTGCACTAGCATTTTCTTCAAAAGGTCCCTTCAAATACCTTTTTTAAAATTTTCTTAAAATTTCCTGTGTGCTGCTACTTTACGTGGGGTTTATATTTGTGGTCATGAGTCAGGAGATAAAAAAAAAAGTTGAAGCCCGATAAACCGGCTACTATGTTGATAGGTAAATTACACATATAAAGAAGATATAAGAAATGGCACAACGCTGAGTGACAGGTAACAGAATAAATATACTTATTAGTTCAGTTATGAACATAACTCACGTCTAATCATGGTTAAAGCAGAGCTGGTTCCAGTACAAAGGTCGTCTTCAATTTACAAAAAGCCAACCAAGTTTTCTTAGCATCCGTGATATGCCTTCTGTTCAATACAAAGTAGAACTTCTGTTTCTCAAACAAGAATTACTAATTTTTCTGCGAAAAAGAAAATTAATGGCGGCTGGTTCATGAAATATTTTGAACAGGTGCCAAATGAGAGCCGATGGCTTTCCTGTTTGCGCCAATCAAAGTATGTCGATAGGTATAAAAGCACCGAGGAACATAAAGGCGGGGTTGCAAAAAAGGCCAAGGCTACGTTCGTCTGTCCTCCGTTCACCCCTAAGTCTAGCGGGGTAGGAGTTACGTACTCATTGAACCTGTCATGCACCTACATCTAGCCACGTGATCACGCTTCTGCTCATACCTACACGCAGAGGGCGGGATCACGTGAAGAAAGAGAGGCGGTTGATCGGTCCGGCGATTGCCTAACTTCCACCGCACTGTCAGCTTACGCGAGAACGGTGTGCAGTAGACGTATCTCAAAGCCTAGCCTCTAGTTTGAGGCTTCGCGTGCGCGATCGTTCTATTAACATGTCTCATTTGACTTGGTAACACGAATGAACGTAGACATGTAAAGGTCTGACCCGGAAAAGCGTCCTCGCGAAATGTGCATGTTTCGAAATGGTAGTTACTAAACGTGCGGCTCCTTTTAAATATTGAGCATCAGTGGAAATCTGCACTGAATAAACCTGACCGGAAAGAACGGAATTCTTCCGAAGTATGCAGATACCTTGACATACAAAAAAAGAAAAACAAAAAAAGAAACGGGTATATTCTTACACCCCTTGTCACATATACGACACCTCAAAACTCCAGTTGGACGTACAGCGCACTGACGTTTAACCGACGCTACATAATTTCACAAGCGGCTTGATAGCCGAGTTGTACAAATTAATAATATAGCTTAAGTAAGTGTAACTGACCGCAAAAAAAAAGTTATTGTGGTTTTCTTGGCCCTACTGCGAAACCTCCGTGTTTTTGTCTGTGGTCCTTGATACGTACTTTAGCTGTTTGATACGTTATATCGCACCGTCATCAAGCCTCTCGTAAAGGTTGGGGCCGTCAGTTTGATTTCAGTGCGCTGTGCGTCAAACTGAAGTATTGGGGTGTCGTATATGTGACAAGGGGCGTAAGGAAGGATCATATCCTTTTTTAGAGTGTTGCAGTTTAAGAAAAGCCGTAAAGGGTCCTCCCACCGAGCCTTTCACTCTTTTCACTTTAGCAGAGTGAACGCTGGTGACGAGAAAATAGCAGATCGTCGTGATCAGAGAACTTTGTGGGTGGGACCTAACCGGCTTTTCTAAACTTTTAACAGACTATACGCAGTAAATGTTAGAAACGTTTGTCGGTGAGGCTCTTTTTAAGGTAGAATTCAAAGTTCGAAAGGCTTTGCGCATTAGTTGAGATTTTTTTTTTTATGAATTTAGCAAACTCTATAAAATTCAGCTTGACAAGAAAGAATAAAACAAACTCGAGACAACGGACGACGAATTTATATTTCACTTACGGATTACAAGAATAAAGCTCAGCATTATAGATACAAGGGAAACGTTATTTAAACATAAAGCACCACATATTAAAATGAATTTTACTGGGTGTGCTGAACCAGTCTGATGCCTGTCTTAAATATGATACATGGGAGGGGAATAAGAATTTGTTATTGTGCCTGGACAAACAATCAGCAATGAAGTTATTGTTATTAAGTTACATTTATCAAGACCGGTACGTCATATTCCCAAAACTTCTGAAAAAAAAGAAAAGAAAAATGGAGGTAGGGAAAAACCGGATGTACAAATTTTTTTTTTTTCGTGTGAGTTGAAACGTGGCGGTGCAGGTGTGCAAATCTACTCTGAACACTTGCGGTCTTGCACTTCGCTGCTGCGTTTTCGGCATCTACAACTAAAAATCTCCTAGCTTTAATTTTGAGCAATGGGAACCCCTAACGTTGACGAGCCTTGGACATAATGCTCATTCCTTCGCACGCTAAAAACTTTCAAATTTAATGAATAGTTAACTCGCTAATTTAATCTTTTGTTTTGATGTTTTACAAAGATACTGGTGCCTTCTCATCGCCACTGACAGTATAGCAAACGCAGAACGCGGCGAGTGTCGCGCACCTAGTCATTGTTTGATAAATTCAAAACAGTACAAATACTGAGTTATTACGATTGCAAACTTGCTCTTTCTGACAAAAAAGCTCTTTTGAAAATAATGAAATATTTATTCAACAATTGCCAACATTGAACGAAGGGAAGGGGTTCATGAAAGTCCCGGTGTAAGAAAATGGACAGTGCCGCACTACAGGGGCCCTAAACTCGTGAAACGCAAAGTTGGAGCAGAAAGTTCGCGGAACGCACCGTTTGGACGTCGGCGAAAAAAGTGCGAAGTCATCGTTGTGATAGGCATTTCGGTGCACTCCGTCAACTTCGGCCCCAACTTTGTGTTTGACGAGTTTAGGGGCCCTGAAGAAACTTCGGAATTCAAACGCTAAGATATACGCTGCGCTATTTGTAAAATCGTCCAGACAGACTGAACATGGATATCATCTGTGTAACTAGAAAAAAAAATATACGCACGCTATTCATGTTGGACTCTGTCGGTGCTTCAATTCTTGAATGGAAAGAGAATGTATGTTACTATTATTTTATGATAATTTATTTTCTTATATTTTTTCTGTAATTATAAACACGCTAGGGATCTGACAGTCTTGAAAATACTTGTAAGCAAACTGAATGTATTTTACTCTTCTATGTTAGTTCGTTTTCATTTTATTTTGATATTTGTAATTCTGCTAAACTGTGTCTTTCCTTATTTTTCTGATCTGTTGTTGCTGTTGCGGTTTGGGGGAGGCAAAGCCTTTGTGAAGCAACTTTTTAGTGGCTTTTTTATGTCTCTCCGCTCTTCATATTTGAAGGAAAATAAAGAAAAGAATAAAGAGTTTGAATTTAAAGTTGTTCCATAGCCATTGCAATTACGACACTACACTATAAGAAACCCCACATAACAAATCACAAAGCAAGACGTAAGAGCGCCATGGACAGCGCCCTCCTTTCTGAAGGCGCCAGTTACAATAGTAACTTACG